AAACAGAAAACTCGACTTTATCAACGGCTTCTAACAAAATAAGAATGATTTACATTTGCAACACTTCCGATTTCCTGCAGGTTTTGTTGTTGTTTTTAATTTATGCAATTATTTATTCTGCTACTTTATCATGCTTTACATGAAGTTTACGATCAGGGCTATTTCGGATCCTTCAGAGATCTTACATTGTTTGTTTTGAATAGTTTCTTCCAAAGTATATTTACAATGTCTGAAACAAATTTACAAAACCCACGTTCAGGAAGGCGTCAGTATCTCATTACCTACTCACAAGCCGATATAAGTAAGTTCCCCACGAGAGAGAGTTTTGGTAAAATGCTGGAAAACGAGTTCAATGCAGGGTCTAGCCAAGTCAAGGTGTCACATTGGGCCTGCTGTAAGGAGCCACATGAAGAAAATGGCTTTCATTATCATTGCTGTTTGAAGCAGACAGGGGTAAAAAAGTGGTTGTCAATTAAGAACGCAATCACAAAGAAACATGACATAGTGGTTAACTTCTCAGATCATAATCAGTACATATATGCGTACCGTTATGTCTGTAAAACTGACAAGGACGTTGCTCATAGTGACAATCATCCTGACCTTTCCGAAGTGGGATCTCCACGCACTAAAGCTTCAACTGTAGCTCTTCGAGAAGCGGGCCGAAAAAGAAGGTCGACCAATACAAACGCGGAGGCGACAGCCAGTCGTGAAAGAGGAAATCAGAAAAGACGGCACCTTAGTAATCTTGAAGTGGGTGATTTCATTGTTGCTAACAACATCACCACTGTGCAACAGCTATTTGCTAAGGCTGATGCTAGAAAGCAGGAGGGTGAAAGCGATCTCGCTAATTTCTTGTTCTCCCGAACGCAGAAAACCATTGCCGAGCTGATGAGCAAGTCGTGGTTGCTGAAGCAGGCGTCTTCAGAAATACAGCGAGACGAAATCACAAGAATCGAAAAAGTTAGAAATGCAGCGGAAAATGCCTGCGTTGATGGGTGCAACGGTAGTTGGCTTGAGTACTAGTGTGCCATAGAAGTGCTTTCGCTGAATGGTATAGAATTAACTATTTTTGCCTCGTACATATTTGAGCTTCTAGCTCGAGGTCGGGGGAAATTCAGAAATCTGATGATCTCCGGCCAAACCAACTGCGCCAAAACGTTTATGTTGAAGCCCTTGAAGTGCATCTTTGATGACCGATTGTTTGACAATCCTGCGAATGACAAGTACGCTTGGGTTGGTGCCGACAAGGCAGAGGTGATTCTCTTGCAAGATTTTCGCTTCAGCAAAGAAGTCATCACATGGAAAGATCTCCTTCTCCTACTTGAAGGAGAGACGGTTAAGCTACCTGCTCCCAAGAATCATTTTGCCAATGATGTTGTCATATCTTCTGATGTCCCGATTTTCGCAACGTCAAAAGCACCTATAGTGTACAAAGGGCCTTACAACGTGGAAGACGAGCGTGAAACAGAGATGATGAACAGTCGTTGGAGAATGATTCGCTTCAAACATGCATTCGAGGAGAAAGATCAAAAGAAGGTGGAGCCGTGCGGAAGTTGTTTTGCTAGGCTTGTACTATTGGGAGAGAAGTGATATAAACATTCAAAATAACTTTGTTCAATAATTTTGGCTTACTGAGGACCAAATTTAAACGGAAAATTTTAAAACAGTTATGTTTGACTATATAGTTACGTTATATATATGTACGAATGTGCTTTGCACGAGTTACCAACGAGTTACCAACGAGTTACCCACGAGTTACCCTAAAGTGAATCAATACACTTTTTACTATAATATAACGAGTTACCACTAAAAAAATTAGAAAAAAAATTTTTATTTATTTTTCTATATTTTTAAGTGGTAACTCGTGGTAACTCGTTCTATTATAGTGAAAAGTATATTGATTTTTAGGATAACTCGTGGGTAACTCGTTGGTAACTCGTTGGTAACTCGTTGGTAACTCGTTCGTTATCAAACAGTTTATTACTTATAAAGTTTATAATGCAATGCAGATAACAACATAAGTTTAAATTCAGTAGAATCCTATTTAACTTGGCTTAAATATTGTCATTGATGATAATAATGGCATTTAAAGGACATTACACACTTAAATTGCCACAAAATTTAATATTTAATGCGTTGTCCTTTTGACTTGATCACCATGTCAATGCGTTTGTCCATGGACTCAATTGTCCTGTCAATAATTTCTGGCGAATAGTTCAATAAGGTCGCTTTAACCCTTGTACAAAACTGCGAATATGTCTCTTTCGTGATTTGTTTGCTCAATGCATCATCTTGCAATTGCCTCTTAAAACATTATGAAAAACGTTTTCAATGGGATTCAAGTCTGGACTGCGAGCAGGAATAGTAAACTTTCTCGCGCCAACAGCAGACATTGCTAGTTTAGCTTTTCGGCTGTTTTGGCTAGGATCGCCATCTTGCAGAAAGAGCTTGCCTTTCTTGTTGCAGCTGTTTGCAAAGCGAGTCGGAAATTGTTCTCGGACAAAATCTCCAAATTTTTGACCATTCATGTGTCCTTCGTATTGTTCAGCCAGAATAACTCCTTTATTATGCGCTATCGCAACAAAAAAATTTGCTGTTCTTCCCCCACTGCCTTCGTGCGATCCTTTTGACGTTTGATTGTGGCTAAGACCATCTGAGGGTTTCCGCCAGGCCATCGTTCTCGGTGCCAACGACTGATCGTGAGGGTTATATGTGTGAGTGAAGCCAACCGGTCCGTCCAAATAAAACGACACGTTTTTTGTCCACACATTTGGATTTAATCTGTTGCGAACTTGCTTTGCAAATTTGAGCCTAATTGTCAAATCCTTTCTGCTAAGCATCCCCTTTTTACGCGAATGAGTGTATTTGAATCCATTGGCTCTAAGGACGCGTCTAACTGTCTCATCTGAAACATCTGTCGGTACGCCAGCAAAAACTTTAAGACGTTTTGTTGCAAAATACCCGTAATCCCTTCGTAGTATCTCGACTTGTCGCAATATGTTGCGTTTGTCTCGTTTTGTTAGCTTTTGAGGACGGCCTTTGTTTTGTTTCCTTTTGTCGATAACAGAGTCGTCGATTTTTCGTTTCATGTGCCTGCAAATAGTAGCCTTGGAATACTTGTTATAGTCTTTTACATTTGCTATCTCTTTCCACGTTTTCTTTCCGTCTTGGCGAAGGTAGCGCCAGTGAAGTGAAGCAATGAGTGGAACTCGTTGACGTTTGTTTGCAGGCTTTATTTCCCTAAGTTCCCTGTGTTATTTGATTTAAAAATGCCTGAGCACTTTATTCAAAGTTTTATATAAGTGTCTAATTTTATATTATCAGAAATATATAATATGCATAGGAACGGTGAAGAGGATCAATCACCTATTTGCCTTTCTCTCTAATGCCATGTAGCTTTTAACTACATCCCTCAAGCCACCACCTTCCTTTTTTTTCACCCCTCCCCCACGTACTTTGACTACCCCCTAAATACACATTGATAAACAAAAATAGCTAATTAACAAAATAAGGTTAGCAGCATGTGTGATGAGTTTACATTTTCGCGAAACACAAGAGTTTTGTGGGTGACGTCATCTATAAGAGTATGGGTTACGCCCAAAAAGCCACGCCCTATTCTGTGCGAAAAATGTTCTGTCAACCTGTCAACTTATTATGCGAACCAAGCAACACATGATAAGCAATATGCAACTTTTTTACAATGAATTTGAAATTGTTTACAACACCAAATTTTATGATTTATTAAGACAATCCTTCACAAAAATTATGAGACTACCCATGTGAAAGTGTAATTTCCTCTCCCCCTCCCCCCTACAGAGCAATGTTGCTCGTGATTGAGTTGAAATTCTTAAGCACAATGCTTTCAATAACAGTCAACATTGTTTTATGTGAGGTATGACGAGCTCTTGATGGTAGAAATTTGCTCATTTTATAGATAAATATGCAAGTCTCAATACATTTTGTGAAGGATTGTAGATGAAGAAAGTTCCCATCTCTGCACATTACGACGAGAGATAAACGACCCAGTAAAATAGCAAGTGTTGGTCGATTTCTTCAACAAGTACCTTGGTCTGACTTGTTCTCCCCAGCTCAGTCAAGTGAAGATAAACTTAACATCCTTACAGATATAATAAATTTTGGCCTAAATACCATCATGCCCGTGTCAACCATCAAGATACATGAATCAGATCGGCCCTGGATGAACACTAATCTAAAACAGCTCATCTCTCGTCGCCAAAAAGCTTTTACATCTGGTAACAATCCTCTCTACAAAATTCTAAGAAACAATGTCAATCAAGCATGCAAACGCTGCAGAAAATCCTACTACGTTAACAAAGTTAAAGGTTTACGAGATTCCAAGCCCCGTGACTGGTGGAGAGAAGTTAAACAGATTTGCGGCGCAAGTAAAATTCCAAAACGGGACCTAACCTCATTACTCCATCCAAACCTTGTCTGTGATAAGGAATCTCTGGCTGAAAACATCAATTCGGCGTTTGTCAACATAATGAATGATTATTTACCTCTGTCAGATTGTATACGTGTAGAAATGGCTGATGATCGACCAATATCTGTCACTGAACACTCTGTCGCAAGAAAGCTTTTAGAGCTAAATGCTTCTCGTGCCAGTGGTCCCGACAACCTCCCTAACTGGGTACTTAAAAATTTTGCGTATATTCTAGCGGCCCCAATTGCTGATATCCTAAATACTTCGTTCTTGGAATGTAAAGTTCCTGACGCATGGAAACTTGCCAATGTCTGTCCTCTGCCTAAGGCATCTTCTCTCTGCAACATCAATGAGAATTTAAGACCAATCTCTCTAACACCCACCCTCTCAAAAGTTGCTGAGAGCTTCATCATAGACATTGCGTTGAAACATGGCGGATAGACGTGTGTCTGTTATGCTCTATCAAAATGCAGGAAATACGAATAAAAATCATAGATTGAGTTCCTTTCTCACTTGCGATAGCTGCACTGAATTGTCTAATATGTCTTATGATGGAGTACGCCTAAAATGGCTTGATGATCTGGAGAATGTAAAACGAATTGTATGTCAAGTTTGGGGCCTCGAAGGGAAATGGTCGTCACCTGGAGGCCAAACAAAAAAATTTACTAGCACTAATGCTGATTTGGTGCTCACATGGTACAAAGGTAAACAAAATACTCTGATTTTTCAAGGCAAGGACGGTGACTTAGTACGAGATAGGTGTATATTCGTTTCCATGCAAGGGAGCCATCTTAAATCAAAATCACTATCGCTTGAGTGTGATGAAACTAAACACTCTCAGTCAGCCATATCTAACGCGTACGATGGCCCTAATATCGTGTTTAAGAATGTAAATACTGTCACTGATACGGCTGACCTGGTTAAAAGTAAGCAAAGTAAACAGGATAGTATTTATCACCGCTTGTCTGATCCTGTACTGATTAATCATTTATCTCAGACGGAACAGATCGCACTGAGTAATGATTGTGGTTGTAACTGTAGAGTTTTGGCCGCCGAACTGGAAGGGGTCTTCAGACAGAACCAAATTTAGTGCCCAATTCGGTACCAATGTTTCTTTTATGGCAGAGAATAATCGAGAAATTAGTTGTAACAATGCCGAGTGTCACATTCCTGTTATTGACAATCAATGCGCTGCCTTATTGCGAAGTCCAACTGAATGTTCTCAACCGAGTGAAAATGATAGCCTATCACATAAAGGGCCTAAATCAACCAAGCATACAACAACATACACTAAATCGAAATTACTTAATCCAGAAGGAATCACGCATTACGTCGGCAAGCCAAGTAAACACTACGATAAACACCATAAACTAAGTTATTCTGATTGGATAAGTCGACTCCCTTTGATTGAGCAGTTTCCTAAACAGCTAAACCAACATGAAATAAAAGGCAAAGCGAACAAACAAGGAAAAACTCATTTTAAGAAATTACAGAATGGACTCGCGAAACCCCCACGATCGCAAAAGGGTATTCATTCCCTTCTGATGCGTACACCTGTTACTCCCCCAAGAGGCGTAGCACATCAAAATTTTCGGATACGG